GAGAGAGAGAGAGAGAGAGAGAGAGAGAGAGAGAGAGAGAGAGAGGCTGGGAATATAGAGGCGAAAAAATACACAATGACACGAGACGTCGAAGCGCGACGCGCTGGAACGGCCCCGCAAAAAACACTATAACACATTGGTGCAACAAAGAGCAGAGGGGGTTGGTGTGATAGGTGAAAAAATTTTCTTGTCACTTACATGGATCAAATCGTGCGTCCGCGACGGACAGCATGGAAAAAAGTACAGAATTTCCCTCAAAAAATGTGCGTAAAAACTCGCTCCTCTTTTTACGACGGTGTACAAAAAACCTATCTACGTGCAAAAATCACGCTCATGTCGGAGTAGTGCCGTTCCTCCACTCCTTTTCGGTCTATCGCGCGAACGTAACCGTGGATTGCACGCACGGAAAAAAGATTATCGGATCGCGTTATTAACCGACAAACTTACCGCGTGTTATGGAACGTGAGTTATTCGTGAATGGGATTGCTTTATCGTAGATCGTGACACACACAGACGCGTCCGTTACAGTGTGCGTGAAGGTACCGTCATGAATGATTGATTCGACAGATGTCATTAGAGTAGGTTGAGTTTAATTATACGATGAGTAAGAGACGACGAAACTAGCGAGAGAGGTGGTACATCGATCAAATCATCTCTCCGTAGAAACGACATTTTCCCTCATGCGGCTTTTCATTCGGCGGTTGCATCTCAATGTACGTGCGGGATGATCCGAGAATTCGCACGCGCTACGAAAATTGAGATGCGCAAGCTTCGAAAATGATCGTTCTCCAGAGTGATGACGGAAGTGTGCGAACGATTAGAGCGATAGAAAATTGCATGGTACTGACTTGTTTCACCAGTGGTGACTATCACCGGGGCACTTGGGGGACCACGCCCGATGCTGTTCACGGCTATCACATAGAGCTCGTACTCCGTGTACGGGCTGAGACTCCTAACATGGTAATACATCGTCGTGATACCGGATATCTCGGCGAATGCCTGGTTCACGTGCTTCGGTTTATGCTGAATTACGTAGTACTGCAGCTCATCCGGTCCTTTGTACGACCAGCTCAGCTTCACCGACGTCGCCGTGATGTCCGACACTTGAACGTTCTCCGGCGGCCCGGGAAGAGCTGCGAGGGGTGATTAATATGGCTTTACTTCAGCAGCTAACGTTTCCATCGATAGTCTACATCCGCGCGCCTGACGATTTTTCGAAATATCTCGTCGTCTGACGAGATCATTTTCCCGAGCCTTCCAGAGCCAGAATTGTGGTGACACTCGAAGAAATGTTTTCGATAACTCATCGACAAGCGTTAAATTGATATGCGTCTTAGTGTCGATGTAATGTCGAACATAGTGTCACACGAGAGCAATCTGTTTCGACCTCCCCCCTTCGGATGGTCAGTCAGGAAATAGGAAACGCGATGCTCCATCAGGCGCTTCGCGAGAACATTTTTAGCGCTGCTTCTCTTATTGCCAATATTACGGATATCTTTTTTCTCGATGATGAGTGTGCTCTCGTGCGGCAGATCCAATTTGGAAGCATCTCTAACGATCGCTTTACGACTGCCAATGTCGCCGCATAGTGGTACACTTGGTGTTACTACTATATAAGCGATTAGCTTTTCAGTGAAAGCATAACGAATGCAACGTGCAATTAATTGGCGCGCATCACGTGATAACGTAAGCGGAAACGCAAAATCATAAAGAAGCGGGGTGGGATCTATCTGCGAAGAAATCAGATACGAACATTGAACCTTCACCATCGTGGTAGCGTCGATTATGCCGAGATCGCTGGCGGCTGTGCACGTGTAATTCGCCGACTCTTGGATGTCGGTCAGCGTCAGGACGTTTTTGCCGACCGGCAGGTTGTCGTCCGGTGTTAGATCGGTCGCGGGGTCTTTTCTCCACTTGACGAAGGGCATCGGCGCGCCCACCGCGACGCAAGTAAGATTCAGCGATGCGCCAAGCATCACCTCGCTTAGCGGCGGTGGAGGAATCGAGAAGGTCGGTGAAACACGGCGTTCTGAAGAATTTCACCGTGTTTGATCGTATTTGACACGTCGACATGTGTACTTAGAGTCAAATCGGCGACGAGATGAATTTTCACGAGAGATTGCTCTCTTTCGGTATCCTTTTAATAGTTTACGTTTTCTTCGAGAAAATGGGTCCTAATTTAAACATGAATCAAAAGGTAATTTTGTCGCACCTTGACATATAAATCTCTCGTACGATATATTGTTCGCAGTGAGCGCGAGTTACATCACGTTATGATTGAGCCCGCGTTTGTTTATTTACGACTGACATTAAATCGAAATGCAAATAATGACGCGCCCAATTGGAGAATAATTACGTTTTTCGATCGCAAATTAACTGTGCCGCGTGAAAACTCGGCGCGATCGTTTCAAGGCGGATTTTACAAATCGCCGTCACGGCGATTAAGCCGTAAATGCGAACAGTCGAGATTCGAGATCTTGCCGCGAGAACGCAAGAAGACTCGGCGTAACGTGCGCGACGTGAGTCCTTTGTGCCGCCCGTTTAGTTTAATTACCTCCTAATTGCATTACATTAATTTTAATTACGAGCGGGAAAACGTCCACGTTTATGGCATTGACGTGACTGCGCGACGAATTTGCGCCGCATTCGTTATTTCATTCTACAAACACGTTGTCCTTTTGCGGCGTTTCAAAAGCCTCTAACTTTTCTTGGGACGTCCTATTTCTTCTTCTTTCTTCCTTTATTTATTTCTTTCTTTTCTTGAAATCATGTCTTATAAGATACAACATTTTCATTGTTATTGAAACAATTGTCGTATGCCGCGAGTGTATCTATAATGATTAAAATACCTACGTTTAACGTATAACGTAATCGACTTGGAGTACTCCGTGCCCACGGTGTTATTAGCGACGCATTCATACTTTCCTTGATCGGTTACGTCGGATTCGGTAATCTGCAAGGCACCTGAAACCATAAGGATCACACGCGGATATAGTACTGATATAATCGAATATGTAACATCAAGGTAGGATAATAGCTTGCGTGTATCGAGATTCACCATTGATCCTTCAAATTCGATGGAATTTGCAGGGTCAATGTAAAACTAGAATTTCGAAAGATTTGACGTTTTTTTATTTATTAAAGCCTAACTTGAAAGCTAACTAAAAAGCAATTGATTTGAGCGAGTTGAAAAGAAAAACTTCGTTAGATGTCTAAAAAAACGTCGAGTCAGTGTTTATCAAACATATAAAAACGAATGCACGATAGTCTCCTCGTTTAAGTAGATGTATTTTCCGCCTTTTACTTCATTTTTTCCACCGCTAATAGAGTTCCTACCGCGAAGGGGTCGAAGAAGGGCGACCACCCCGTGTCGCCCTCCTTCCCCCGTTCTGTACATTTCGCTTTCCATCCGGTTCGTGCGGGGACCACCGCGATGCATCAACCCCCTTAGAGCGCGATACCGCGATGATGAACTGGCCGTTGCGAGGCGTGTGATTATCTTCGCCGACGTCACTGCTCTGTATAATTCAAGTCCCCACGACCTCCTCCACTCACGAACGGTACCGCCCTGCTCATTCGCAAAGTAAACACCGGCGAAGCCAGGAATTCCGGGGGGGGGGGGGGGTTTAGAGGTCGATCGTTCGACCCTTCGAAGGTTTTATCGAGGTGACGGTTGTAATTAGGGAATGATCGCGAGCCGGCACCGAATAATGGAAATAACGCGGGGGGCGCGTATCGAAAATAATACAGAGTGCCTCCCCTTCGGTGGGTCGTGTGTATCGTCGGAATAGGATGCATCGAAACGGAACGCGACAAACACGGCCGAGAGGGTTTTTACTTCGAAACTCGCGGCGCTACGAATATTTTTTCCCCGAAAGACAAATACCGCGAATACACGAACCGCCGCGTTGTTTCCCTTGCGAACGAACGAAACACACGCGTCCTCTCACGTTCTCCCCCCCCCCCCCTCTCTGATAAAGGGTTTCGTTTTGATATTATGGCCCGGAGTAAAACGGAACTCGCAATTATTGGTGCGCGCAACCAGCCGCAGCGTGCTTGTTAATTTCGCGGACCAACGAATTTAATGCCGATTTTGGAATTCGTTACCCAGCCGAGTTCTCGCATCATACGTAACGCAATTAGCAGCTCTGGATCTTAGAATCGTGCGTTTCAACTCGACGCTAAATTTTCACAATTTCCCTCGACACAGCCTCGGCAAGGAAAGAGCTCGTATAGACTCGGCTGTGGGTAGGCGGGGAAGAAGCGGGTGAAAGAGTAAGGGTCGAGGGTGGAAAATACTTCATCACAGGCGAGAAGCGAGGCGAACTGATATCGCGTACGATCGGAATACGTAATCGTGCTTCATCTACAATTTCTCGTAAGCCGACCGGCGAGGCAAGCAACGCGCCTAGTCATATTGTTATCCCGGAGTCACGTGTGCATTGTTAGCGCGCCGCCGCGAAAAATGTTACGCCCGGCGAAGAGAGGATGGGAGTAACACGTGAAAAGCGCTTATTCATCCGGCGGAAACGCCCCTTTATGTAAACTCTGACCGGCGGACACGTTGAGAATGTATCAAGACATTTAGACTGTCACTTTTGATTCGTGATGTGTCGTGCTCTGCCGCTGCATTCTTTCAAACGATATTATATTTTAAGCTGCCATCGAACTGTGGACACAAATGAATTAGCGTGTAGTCAATGTACGTTGCGACATATATGGTAATTGCCGATAAGGTCGACAGATCGTGCCGAGTTGATGACGCGGAAGTCTTTCGACGCAAACTTATCACTGTTAAAAATAACGTCTCTCTCTCTCTCTCTCTCTTCACCTTACGGGTTTCATTAAAACCCATTTTAATATCCCACTGGCTGGCCGTGTCGTGACTTTTCGCTTTATTGCGTACGTGCGAGGTAAAGAACGATATAGAATTAACAGGAGAACGCGCGAATTACCATTGATTTAACGATAACATTTCTACGGATGTAATAGCCGCTTAAAATATTCATAGAGGCTGTGAAGGACACGTTACCGGTGGTGATAAACAATTAGATCTCGAACGTGAGACACAACGCACGACGATGATAACGCGTCTCTCCGTGTGTGTTCTTGATAAATTTTATATAATCAAGGCACGCGAGCCACCCCTCCTGCGATACGGCGCGATATACATTCGCATCGGGTACAATTGCGTTAAAAGGTGCACTGACGCTTAACGTCCTCTTTAACTTTTCATAATCCCAGTTTACGGCATCGATCGGCGGAGGGGAGTCGCCAGGAATGTTTTAGGTAACTGGCAGATAGATATCTCCCCGCTGTAAAATCTATTAGCGCAAGAAAGGTCATTGTTTCTCGGAAGCGTACGTTCAACTTTTCACGCCTCGGAAAATAGGATAAGTCAAGAGCATCGTTATGACAAAAATGCAAAATCGCGCGTCCGTTCGTAATTATACCTCGCGCAAATGGTGATTTTATAAAAAAATTTACCTCGCGTCTTTTTAAAAAATAACAGCTCATATATCTCGTTAAAGCGCAAGCATCGGATATCTCTGGGAATTTCTCGCGTTGCTCTTTTATCTACAAGATCGATGCAATATACATGCGTAAATGTCTAAAGTTCGGTTCTTGTTTTACGATGCACAAGGGACACAAAAGAGATAGCTCGCATCGATTCGAGTGCAATTTTTAATATCGTGCGTCCCGTATACAAAATTACGAAAACTGCTTCTATTTCCATGTTTTATTTGCGATCGTGGCTCGGTATAATGTCGTGTTTTTATTAAATAGTTGTTGCTCGTGCATTTTGTTTTTATATCCGTACACGGCTGAATAAAAATAATAGGTGAATACCATCGTCCTTTCTCTTTCTCTCTCTCTCTCTCTCTCTACTAACCCGATCAATATCGCCGGCATATGACAATTAACGACGCTCGTGAACTTTGATACCTAACACAACAGCGAATTTTTTCCGAGGAAAAATCAGCTTCAAACTCGTCGAGGAATCTGTTATTGACGGTTAAACGGCTGAGATTTATAAAGCGAGCTATCAGGCGTTAAATCGGCCGACCGATAGATCGCTTGTAATTTTCGGCCCTTTGGTCGAATCTGGAGGGGTACTGTATAAATAGCCCTTAACGATCCAACATTTTTGTCCAGCGACGCGCGACCCTTCTATTTGCATCTGAATAATTACGTTTCGCGGCAAAACTGAAAAGTTCCATTTTTCAGTCTCTGTCATACGCGAAATATTGTGTCGCGCGGCGGTTGCGATCGTAAAAACGAATAAATCGAGTAGTACGACGTATAAATGTACTCGAATTGTTTTCGTAGCAAGTACACACAATTCGGACGAAACTTGGCGATCGACGGACGCGTTACGTCCCGCTGTTACGGAAAGTGTCGTCGAATTTTCCTACGCGTTGGGGAAAATCGCGTTCCTTGCGAAAGCTCCGTGGCTTCGGGCGACACGTTTCGCCCGTCAGTAGGCGCGCATTTTTCTCCGTGCTCCTCTTCTCTCCGCGCAAGATCATATCGGGGATATGCGGCGGCACGGGACGCAACTGTATACGGCCGAGCCGCTATTTGTGTGTTTGCCGACCAATATTGAAATATCTTCCCTTATATTTAATATTACGAGAGCAAAGGCAACGCGTGCACGCATGTACACACAAGCCGTCATCTCGCTCTTGTTCGGATAGCATGCTTTGTCGCGGGGGTGGAATCGAAGGATGAAGCGGGGATGAATTCGCGCGCACGGCTCGGTGAATACAGGATTCCATCCGGATAGAATACAAATAGGAAATATGTTTACACTGAAAGCATTCCGAAGTGTGCTGTGTGTCCATGCGTTCGTCGCGCACGTCGACGTTGGCGCGGCAAAACGTTGCCGCGACACTTTTTAATTCCGACTTGTGTATTGAACATCAAGTTTCTTTTCGATTACGTTAGTTTCTACTTGTAGTTTTCCGTCGTTACTGACTTCATTTCAGAGCGAAACAAGGATCTTGGCAAGTTCTCTCTTCCGTCCAGTCAAACATTCGGCAGAAAAGGATATGAAAATTATCTTTTCGTAATCGATACAAAGTTTGTCGTATTTATTTGTCGAATAAAAATGAAAACAAAAATTTTCGGCAAGCCAGGATATAACGGAGAAAACAGCAAATTTTCCGCAGAAATCTGATAGGAACATTTTGTTATCGTTGTAAGAGGTTAAAAGGTTTGTAGTAATATTATACTTATAAGCGTATACGGAAAATAGAATTAGCTCCCGCATCTAAAAACTAGCTATCCGTATAATATAAGTGTAATTTAGCTTTCGGACTCAATTTTTAGCTGTGGGAGCTAATTCTTTTTTTTCCGTGTACATTTCAAAGAGAGCTGAAGTAGCCGATCATCCGTGCATTTGGACAATTTTTCGATAATGATTTACTCCGTATGGGAAGAGAAGAAGAACCGACGATCTTTCCTCTAATCTGAGTTTCTTAGCTTAACCCTTTCGGTACATTTGACGAGTGAGACGACTCGTCATCTGCTTACTTGGGCATAAAATGTATTACTTTTACATATTAATCCATATAGCGACAAATTAAATCCGTCCCATGGGCATAAAAATCTTCAAATAATTCAGTACTCAAAGGGTTAATAAACTAGCTCAGTTAAATAGCAATTAGCGTCTTGTCGAGTGCGTCAATACTGGTTTCGAGAACTTGATTCTCGAATATGCCGAGAGCATGGCTCGAACGCATATTCGAATCAAAGGTACAGACGCGTCGCGCTAATGTAAGGACAATCGGCGATATTATGCGGGTCGTTCGAAACGGACGACCGTCGGACGGATATATACCTCCGTGACAACGGTTTGCGCTAGCTATTTAGAGTTATTAGGGCCGTTCTCATTCGGATTAATTAAAGCGGAAAGGCGCGGTGCACGCGCTCCTGTCGATTTCTTGGCGACGTTCCAACTT